ATCCAGTGGCTCGGCACACAGAGGGATGTTTCTCTCAGGAGAGGCGCTAAGAGGAGGGTCTGCTCGGGCTACTGGGGTAGATGTCTCCTGGAGCCCCTAGGGGATGGAAAGCTAGCATCACAACGTCACTGCTGGGATTTGCTGGAGCTGGTTTTCTACTTCAGAGTTCATGTCTGAATACCTCAGATCCCCAGGTATATATATCCCAGATCCTAAGGCATACAGCTTCCTTCTGGGGAAATGCCAAAGCTGCCGTGACCTGTGGCTCTGGGTACAGTGTGTATTTAGAAAAGCAGACTGGTGTTTCCATCTTTTCCAAAGTTCTCCAAGTTGATCTTGCCACCTTTGGGGGTGAACAAAATATTCAACGTGAATTTTCAAGTGAAATTGGCATTCGAGAGTGTGTTAGTTCAGGTTCTTGTGCATGTCTGTTTGCATCCACTGTGCCAAAAACCTTGAAAACCGTGCTGCTCCAGTTTCTGTCTTGCTCAGTTTTTGGGTGACATCTGGATTTCACTGGTTAATGAAAGCTCTAGCCACCACCCTGAGTCATTTTGCAGCCAGAAGCGTGCACTTAAATAATTGTGCATTTCGGCTTCAGTTTAGTGAATCTCGGTAAATCGCTTCCTACAGGAGAGACATGTCTTCTCTTCGGTCTGTAGATGACAGACTGTAGTAACAAGCATCAGCTTTCCCCAGCAGCTTTCCTAAAACCCTGCAGGGGGAAAAAGAGCTCCTTCCCTGCAAAGCTTGAGCATCACCAGTGTGCCCGCTGGACCTCGGGTGCCTGCTATTTGCCATCTTGGCTGAGGTGTCAGTTTCAGGCAGTGAAGGGACACCAAAGTGCAGCAGGAGACAAGGGTGTCTGTAGAATTTTTACCGTAGTTCCCTGAGAAATGGTCACCCTGTCTGTTTCTGTGTCACTCTTCCTCCTCAGGCCTGTACATGGGCTTCAGAAATCCTCCTTGGGGTCATCTGGCATTCATAGTAGGTTTGGGGGCTACTTTGGGAAAATAGTGCCTAAATCCAGGACGTCTCCGCTTTAGAGGAATCTTTAAAATGACCTGTAAACCATCTTTTTGCAAATACAACCAGACTTTGCTTCTGTTTTTCTCAGTTCCAGAAACGCTTTATCTTTATTTCCAGAAAGTTAATATTTAATTAGCAACAGGCTCTAAGTGTCTCAACCCTTCAGCCTCTTTAAAGAACTAATGGTGTAAAAACATGTGTAAATGCACCAGGGGGATCCCGATGATTTATAGAAGCTCTATATTGAATAATTTTGAAAAGGGAAGATGTTTTTGGTAATAAGAATATTCATTTTTTGACTCTTCAGTTCTGTGATATGCAGTCATGGGGTAGGGAGGAGGGGAGAGGAAAATACCATTCTCCTCTGGAGCGTAAAATCTTTAAGCTTATTTTATGTGATAGTCACAGGTTCCTAAGTACTTGATTTAAAAATGAGCAGAATCCAGTGGGTACCCTTCATTGGCCCTTCATGGTTTAGGGAGGAAGGAGGACAGGGAATAGACCTCATTTTGGTTCTGGTAGTTAAATGCTTGCAGCAACCCTACTCCATATTCCATTTAAATTAAAAAAAAAAGAAAAGCTTTCTATAATGGTTAGTGAAATTTACATTTCATCCCTTGCCTAAAACTATTTTTAGCTTTATTTTCTCCTTACAGAGCTTTGTGCTGCTCCCCGCCCCCCACCCCCCATTAGGTGCTTCCCTTTTGTTCTGTAGGTTGGTTCGATAGTTTGTATCTGCAAATTTGAGAGCCGCACATTTTATTTTTTTAGCATCTAAACAATAATGTAACCACATCACGGCCTTTTCAGTCACATCATTGACCTCCGCGGGCAGTTTATCCCCCTACAACACTTGAATGCATTAATATCACTGTCTGTAGCATTTTAATTTAATTAGAGCAGTGGTTATAATCCTCTTGGGAAAATCATTATCCCCTCTGTACTGTTAAAATAAAACACCTCTGGTTTTCATCCGACTGACAGTTTGCTTTTGAGGTGAATGAGCTGTAAGTGGGTACTCCCCTTCCCTTTGTTGGGGTCAGGCCACGGAAGCAGTTGTGAGGATAAAGAGGTTTCCTTGATTTGAGAAACTGGATGTCCTTAAGTCTCTCTGTCTAGATGTCTCCGTCTGAGATAGTGTTTGTTTCCTATTTCTAATTGCTGATAGTCTGCAGGTTGTGCCTTGTAGATGTTAAGCGCCTGGTTATAGGAATAGACGAAGAAACATGAACCATGTGAGTCGCCCTAGAAATTCACAGAAGGAGAGACAAAGGGAGATAAGCCTGCAGTGTGGGATTCCCAGGTGTGTGTTTTGTTCGGTCGGGAGAGGAGCCCACGTCCTGGGCGGTGTCCTTTCTGGGGTCCCCTGAGTGCTCTGCTGGTTGCTGAACCCGGGGTCAGGGTAAGTGTGTAACTTGTGCAAGCAAATTGCTCCAGGTCTTAGAAGCGTATTTTGCTTTTCCCCCTCTTGGTCAAGGTACCCTCTCTTCTGCTGCTACTGACCAATCTCTTCATGGAAACTTTTAAAAAGAGCTTCCCGTCCCAAGCTTATGGTGTTGCATGGAATATTGCTGAGTAGAAATGAGAATCTCGAATCTGTCTCCATCTAGAATTGTTTGGACATGGGGGGTGGTATAAATCCCAGGGCAAGCACTGAAGTGTGGCAATTCAGTAGAGCAGGAAGGACAGGCAACCACGACGAAGTGCGCACATAGCGGGGGCGGGGGCAGGGGTACCTCCTGGGAAATGATGGTGAAATGAAGGGACAACAATGATAATTTAGCAAATCAGAATATATACATTTTAAAGGTGATAACCTAGCTTGACTCTTATCAGTAGGCTAGAGGTAGATTTCCCAAGAAACAAAGTAAAATCCGTTTGGGGGGCTGGGTTTCTTCCATTTTTGTCCTTGATGGACTTGGTGAGGGGCGAGGGAGCTGGGATGACGTGGCCGGTCCCAGGGACCAGTTGCAGGATCTGGTGAGTCTCTCTTTGCTTTAAGACAGTCATCGTATTATGAAATGCCATCTTTTTTTTTCTCGCACTTGTGCCATGCCATTTGAAAAACTCTTTGGCTGCCCTGTTTTCTTCATCAACAGTTTCACTTCTGCAAAAACCCTAACAAAACAAAGCTATTTCTGGGAATAAAGTTAACGGCAGATAAGATATCTAGACATATATTGGGACTGGGTTTTTTTTTTTTTTTTTTCCGAGTGTTGAAGTGTGTGGAGAATTTGTTAAAACAGACTGTGTTTAGAATGCTTAAAAAGCCCACCTCACTTTGAAAAACCCTTAAACAGCTTTTGTACGTGTTCCATAGGTGTGTTGATGTCTTTGCCTCTTTCACCCCCAAAACCCTGAACCAAACATCAAAAAGTATAACTCCTCCTTAAGCTAGAGTTGCTCAAAATATGTGTGATGTTTGGTAAAATTCAAGAAAAGTGAAGTTGAAGCTTTTGCTCTGGGTGACCTTTAACTGGACATCTTGATTGAGACAGAAATGAAATCTAGGATGTGTACTCCTGCCTTTAATTAAGAAATTCACGAGGAAAGTTTAGGATGTATGTCTAAATGGAAATATTCCAAATGCCTAGTTGCTGGTAGAGGATGCCTCAGGGAAGGTATAGCGATTCCATTCGGAAATTACAGAAATATGTATAGATTAATTTAAAATCGAAACTTCCTACCACAACCACCAAACTTTCCAGGCTCTGAGCAGAAGAGAAGCTTTAATTTGGTTATAGAGCCAGGGGGACTCCCCTGCTTCCCTTTGCACATTTGATGAAATATAAAATGTTGGAGAAACGTCTTTCCAAAACATAAACACCCCCTGTGATTTTTCTTTTGCTCTTCCTTTTTGTTTTCATAATGGCATCTTACTGATCTTTTTCCCCCAACTAATTTTGGACCTTGTATGTCCCACTTTACTTTGCCCAGTTGAACCACAGAAACGAATGGAAGTTATGTTTATTTATGTATGGACTTTAAGTCAAAGTAGTTGATCTGAGATGCAAATTGCACTGCTCTTCCAGCTGAACATAATAGTCTGTTCCTTGCCATTATTTGCTGTGTTTTAACTTAAAGCCTAGTAACAATCCTTCCCATCCCATCCAGTTGTTTTAATTGATCTAACAAACACTGTTTGCATTTAAACAGTGCATCTGCAGAAGTCCTCCTCCCCCCTTTCCTTGTCAGTTGAGTATCTTCAATTAAACAGTACTTGCCTTAACTGCAGACAGTTCTTGAATGAGCTCTGAAATACTTCAGAAGGAAGGGAAGTATCGATTCTGAGTTGGAGAATGAAGGGACAAGGAGCTGCCATTAATGTTGCAGATAATTCCCTGCCATGAAGGAAAAAAAATAAACAGTGGATATTTTTGGTTTGTAATGAGATAGGTAGACCATAGAAGAATCTTGCTGTAGATTTATGAACTAAATCTAGAACTTACAAGCCATCACTTTGAGCTCACCTCTCATTGGATCTGAGTACAGAATCATATTTGTATTAGAAGCTGGGGATGTTGCCAGAGAAGAGGAAACGTGGTTTTAATGTATGGGTGACATTAATTATGGGCCTTGGACAAGCAATTTTTGAGAGTAGTCTTTAAAGCCATTCTCTTGGATATGCTGTTTCATTTCCTCTACCTTGTCTCTCCTTCTCACTTGAACGAACCACTAGCGCAGAGAGGGGGAAATGGACACTTATTGACCAGAGTCCAAAGAAGCCCTATGTTCAGCCTTTCCAGAGCCTTGTTATAAATCCCAAATGCTGGAGATCCAAAAGACAACTAAGTGGATGGAGTGTCTGCAGAGGGGGCGAGGGGGATTGCTGTGAAGCCTGATCTACCTGCGCTCAAATGCCCCTCTCTCCCCTTTGCTCCCGACCCCTCTCCCTGATTTCACACCCAAGTCAGTTCTAAGCCTTCATTGTCTTCTTCCCCCGCCCCTCTTCCTGCCCTTCTTTCTAACAGCAGGAACGAATTTCATATACACCTCCCGAGAGCCCGGTGCCGAGTTACGCTTCCTCGACTCCACTTCATGTTCCAGTGCCCCGAGCGCTCAGGATGGAGGACGACTCGATCCGTCTGCCCGCGCACCTGCGTGAGTGTTCGCGTGTGCGCGGGGCTGGGAGGGAGGACGCACACCACCACGGCCAGAAGGACAGACGGACTGAGAGGGGAATGATTGACTGGGCGGGGGCGCGGGGCTTTGGGCTGGAGAGGGGCAGGCTCTGAAATTGTCACTCGGAGCGCACTTTGCGAAGCTGCTTTGCAGCCCATTGAAAAGCTTGAGATTCCTGGCCCTTGCTGCCACGTTACCCCCAACATCTGGAAATGCGTACTGTAGGGCAGAGTCCACTCAATCTCCTAAGAGGCAAAGTGAACTTTTTTGGAAAGTTTGTCTCCCTAAGTTCACACTTGACTCCTCTTTTTAGTATTTTCATAAGGCCCTAAATTTTGGGCAGTTTCTGAGTCAGACTCCCTCCCTGCTTTGCTTTTAGGCTCCCCTCCTTTTTTCTTTTTTTTAATGCATGCTGGCTGCTTTTCTTTCCTTAATTTTACTGCCTAGATATGGCCTCTCCGTTCCATCGTTTCTTCTCCTCTCCTGTCCTGTTCTCTTGTACCTGCCTTGCCTCTGCAGCTCTGGTCAGTTTGTACTCTTTCCACCTTTCTCTCTCAGATCATCTCTTCCCCCTGCCTCTCCCCACTCCCTGTCTGAATTCTCAACTGCAGCTTGGCAGAGCATCAGGGCCAACACACTTGTGCTCTGGGGGCCAGCCTCCAAAGCAGCCGACACCTGTCATTTCCTCTTTGTCTTTCTTTCCTGTGCTGCCACCCAGCCGACATGATCCAGCATGATGGGGCAGCTGGGGAGAATGAGTCACCTGATTCCCACCCTGATCACAGTGGCCAAGAAAATGCCAGGTTTTCTGGCTTGAACATTGTCCTGAGGGTGCAGGTCCAGGTTGTAGAAGACACGGGGGGTCACCTTGGCCCTATCTTGGCTCCCCAGGATATTCGCTTCCTCTCATTCCATCCCTCCTCAGAAGCCAGAAGGTCTTGCTGAAAGTGGAGAACAAAAAGAGACAGGGGATGTAGACTCCTCTTCGCTCGCCCTGTGAGAATTCAGGGAATCAGGTGACTGTGTTGCTGGGAGGTCCCAGGGGAATATTGCTGGCTATCCCTTCTCCTCCAGTGACGAGGGTAGCTGGGATTATGGGGAGGAGCTGAGGGCCATGGGAGCCCTTCCTTCCCCTCCTCCAGCTTGCTGCATCCGTCTGTATTTACCAAGTTGCTATTAAGTGACAGCACATTCCAGCTTCATTTGGGCAAGAAGGTAAAGGACAGAGCTCCACTCTCCCATCTTCTCCACAGTGAACTTTTAAAGATGAGATTGGGACTGTAGCCGTGCCATGCCGTGTGAGGGTCATGACGGTAGGCTCTCCTGTCCTTGGTAAATCTGAGTGTTGAGGCCCCAGGGGAGTAGACGGGACTGGAAAAGATACCGGAGTCAGGTAATAGCATCTTTTCCTCCAGAAGCTGTCCTGTGACCGGTATATTCACTTCAGGAATAGTCACTTCCAAATCGAACACGCTTATGCCATGCTGGCAAAACACTCCTACTGTCTAATCTCCTTCATTTATTTATTCCGCAAATAGTTATTGGTTATCTGTGCTGCGCCGGACACTCTTCTGGGTGCTGGGGATACCAAAACAAACAAACCAGACCAAACTCCTTGCCCTTACAGAGTTTAAAGTTGAGTACAGAGAAAAAAAAAAATGTATGAACGCTTGGCCCAAACAGAGATTTCTCTCATAGCTTTTTATCCCTTTGAGACATCCCCCGCAAGGAGGCCCTAACTCTTGGTTCACCTCTGGATGCCTTTATTTTTGGAAGCCCTTTTACCACAGGACTGCCTGCCCATAAGTAGTTACCATGGCAGAAGAAACAAAGAAGCACACCAAACTAGCTAGTTAGAAGGTCTTCATTCTTAATTAGTTCTGCTGTTAGACTAGCTGGTTGACTGTTAGTCATTATAATACCCAGTTTTCCTACCAGACAGTATTGTGACGCTACAGGGGAACATTTAACGGCCCTCTTCACTTTAAGGTACCATAATCTCACTTAGGGAGTCCTTCTCCATACTTGGAACCATCTCTTCTATACCAACACTGTTTCCGGAGTACACGGTTTCCTCATGGGCCTCAGCTGGGCTGCCTACCACTGCTTTATAGGCCCTACCATGCGCCTAGCACACAACTCTAATAGCTAATATTTGTTGTGGGATTGCCCTGGTCCAGGAACTGTGTGGAGTCCTCTGTGTAAATTATTTTATTTAATTCTTCCAGCAGTATCTGTAGGGTAGATGTTCTTTTTTTTTTTAATGTTTTATTTATTTATTCATGAGAGTCAGAGAGAGAGAGAGAGAGAGAGAGAGACAGAGGCAAAGGGAGAAGCAGGCTCCCTGCCTAGCAGGGAGCCCGATGCGGGACTCGATCCCAGGACCCTGGGATCATGACCCGAGCCGAAGGCAGATGCGTAACCATCTGAGCCACCCAGGCACCCGGGTAGATGTTCTTTTAACATTCACGTCACACATAAGGAATTTAGGGCTTAGAGAATTTAAGGAACCTGCCAAGGTCACATAGTTAGTAGTGGGTAGAGTTGGGATTCAAACTCAGCTCTGTCTGACTCTGGAGCCTAGGCTCTTGTCTATTATGCTACTGTGTAAGTGTGTTTAATAAGTACTTTTTGGATAGAGGGATGAATTCAGGGTTGACACTTAGCCAGTATTCACCCATGTGGCTATAGTGGCTGAAATGATTTATGGCTTGAATCTTCTAACTGGTCAATGAATTATGGAATAGTTTATGTCCCTTCGATGGATCCCCACATATATAATGATCAGATATAGGATTGTAGCGTATTACTGCCGACCTTAGAATATAATCAGGTGTTAGAGTATGGATTCAGGTCTGGGCGATGCCTTCTCACTGGCAGCCTGACTTTAGAGACCTCCCGCGTAATCTGCATGAGCCCTGTTGGTCCTGACATCTGGACTGAATCCTCTGAAAATGGAGGCTCCCAGGCTCTTGCTGTTTGTCCTCAGCTGGGGCTTTCCACATGTGGCTGAGCTGCCCTCCTCCGTCTCCTTTTCCAGGATTCAGCTGCCCATCAAGCTGTTTGAGAAACATCTCATGTAGCCCCTACGATGGTTGAGGCTGTGCCATATACTTGAAGATGCATCCCAGCTGGGTTTCCAAACCTAAAAGAAAATAAATATTCTAACAAGGGAATTGGGTTATTGCTGTTTTAATCTGGGATTCCAGACAATTCCCAATGGAATGCTCATGGAAAGTACGGGGAAGAATCTGGAAGCCAAGACAGCAGCAGGACATTTATGGTATTGCTAGGTTGAAAGCATTTTTAGCTGCTTGTTTTAAAGAGATACTCCCCAGACTGGTGTGCCTCAAAGTAGTTTCTTTTCAAACCATTTGTCCTCATTGATCTCCCGATAAACCTTCTTGCTTAACTCTTTTTCTCTTTTCGTTCTTAAGTCAAAATATATCCTTCCCTGGTTGGAGGGAAGGCAGGGCTCATAATAGTGAAGATTCTCATACTGAGGGTTTCTCACCATTTTGTTCTGCAAACCCCAGCATAACCCAATCTGAAGACACAGTGTGACAAATTAGCAAGCTATTGAGAAGTAGAAAGTAATGCTTTTCCTTCTATTTCTCTATGATAAAAACAAAGTGATAAATGGAGCAAAGTGTTAAGTGGTGATTATAGAGGACTTGCTAGGGCCAGGTGGGGTAGTCTGGGCCCAGGAAAGGAGGAGAGCCAAGGGGAGAGGGGCCAGGCCCGAGCCATCCTGGCCTGGCCTCCTCGCTGCCCACATGCGCAGGCCAGGCCTGTCAGCAGTCCTGCAGCAGATTTCTGGAACCTGCCTATTTTACTAGGAGAGCAGACACAAGTATATTTATTGAGAAGATAGAAAGGGTTTCTTCTTTCTATTTTTTCCTCCTTCTACAAAGGGTACTGACTTATTTTTTAAGCTTGAAGGTAGAAGAGCTGAAGTACAACAATTATAGCAGGTGGGTGGAAGACACAAAGTTCTAGTCCTTAATAGGAACTGAGCCTCTCATTGTACCTTGAAAACACTTAAAGGACCAAAGACCCCTGAAAGTCCCTAGAGGAGCTCACTCTTATTTCTCCAACCACTGAAAGCCATTGTCTCATTCTCACTAGGGGCCTCATGATGTGAGGCCCCCTCCTTCCTTCCTTCCTTCCTTTCTTTCTAAAGATTTTTCATTTATTTATTTGAGAGAGAGAGAGAAGAGCGCGAGCATGAGCAGAGAGAGGGGCAGAGGGAAAAGCAGACCCCCAGCTGAACAGGGGCCCGACACAGGACTCAGTCTCAGGACCCTGGGATCTTGACCTGAGCTGAAGGCAGATGCTTAACCGACTGAGCCACCCAGGCGCCCCTGGTGGGGAGACTTTTCTAATTTGACTGCCCAAAGACCACCTTCTTGTAAATTCCTGGGGAGGTGTGCGTGGTGAGGGGGCAGCCATAGGTGCCTCATGAGGTGGTGCCAACCCTCAGCCTCTAACCATGATGCTCAGGGCTGCCCATCTGATTATAGTAAGTATGCTTCAGACTTATCAGGCAGAATTTAAATCACTAAATGTCCTTTATTTTAAATTCCTTTTTACATGATCATTTCTGATTTAGCTGATAGAATCACATCTAATCACAGGTTGACATTATCTCTTTGCTCAGAGACTCCGCATTTTGCAGTGCCGGTTGGGCCTTCTAAAACCCCTGTGAATTGATATTTAAAAATCAGAACCTAGGACTCATTCATCATTTTTAATAGGGTTACGGTTTATGATGTTGTGGGTTAATAAATAGCCATAATAGCTGCTCAGAGTTTTCTAGAATCGGAGCACCAGAAATAGTCCCTTGGCTCTACTTCCTTTCCTTGTGAATCTTTCAAAATTCTTACATTACTACTCCTACTTGTGTGTGTTTAATAATTTAATTTAATGCCTTCCTTTGGAAACGTTACCTCACGGCTCACCCACTTGGTGATTTTGCC